AGACTGTACATTTGGGTGTGGTCTGGTGTACAACTCTACAACAGACTGTACATTTGGGTGTGGTCTGGTGTACAACTCAACAACAGACTGTACATTTGGGTGTGGTCTGGTGTACAACTCAACAACAGACTGTACATTTGGGTGTGGTCTGGTGTACAACTCAACAACAGACTGTACATTTGGGTGTGGTCTGGTGTACAACTCAACAACAGACTGTACATTTGGGTGTGGTCTGGTGTACAACTCAACAACAGACTGTACATTTGGGTGTGGTCTGGTGTACAACTCAACAACAGACTGTACATTTGGGTGTGGTCTGGTGTACAACTCAGCAACAGACTGTACATTTGGGTGTGGTCTGGTGTACAACTCTACAACAGACTGTACATTTGGGTGTGGTCTGGTGTACAACTCAACAACAGACTGTACATTTGGGTGTGGTCTGGTGTACAACTCAACAACAGACTGTACATTTGGGTGTGGTCTGGTGTACAACTCAACAACAGACTGTACATTTGGGTGTGGTCTGGTGTACAACTCAACAACAGACTGTACATTTGGGTGTGGTCTGGTGTACAACTCAGCAACAGACTGTACATTTGGGTGTGGTCTGGTGTACAACTCTACAACAGACTGTACATTTGGGTGTGGTCTGGTGTACAACTCAGCAACAGACTGTACATTTGGGTGTGGTCTGGTGTACAACTCAGCAACAGACTGTACATTTGGGTGTGGTCTGGTGTACAACTCAGCAACAGACTGTACATTTGTGTGTGGTCTGGTGTACAACTCAGCAACAGACTGTACATTTGGGTGTGGTCTGGTGTACAACTCTACAACAGACTGTACATTTGGGTGTGGTCTGGTGTACAACTCAACAACAGACTGTACATTTGGGTGTGGTCTGGTGTACAACTCAACAACAGACTGTACATTTGGGTGTGGTCTGGTGTACAACTCAACAACAGACTGTACATTTGGGTGTGGTCTGGTGTACAACTCTACAACAGACTGTACATTTGGGTGTGGTCTGGTGTACAACTCAACAACAGACTGTACATTTGGGTGTGGTCTGGTGTACAACTCTACAACAGACTGTACATTTGGGTGTGGTCTGGTGTACAACTCAGCAACAGACTGTACATTTGGGTGTGGTCTGGTGTACAACTCAGCAACAGACTGTACATTTGGGTGTGGTCTGGTGTACAACTCTACAACAGACTGTACATTTGGGTGTGGTCTGGTGTACAACTCAACAACAGACTGTACATTTGGGTGTGGTCTGGTGTACAACTCAACAACAGACTGTACATTTGGGTGTGGTCTGGTGTACAACTCAACAACAGACTGTACATTTGGGTGTGGTCTGGTGTACAACTCAACAACAGACTGTACATTTGGGTGTGGTCTGGTGTACAACTCAACAACAGACTGTACATTTGGGTGTGGTCTGGTGTACAACTCAACAACAGACTGTACATTTGGGTGTGGTCTGGTGTACAACTCAACAACAGACTGTACATTTGGGTGTGGTCTGGTGTACAACTCAGCAACAGACTGTACATTTGGGTGTGGTCTGGTGTACAACTCTACAACAGACTGTACATTTGGGTGTGGTCTGGTGTACAACTCAACAACAGACTGTACATTTGGGTGTGGTCTGGTGTACAACTCAACAACAGACTGTACATTTGGGTGTGGTCTGGTGTACAACTCAACAACAGACTGTACATTTGGGTGTGGTCTGGTGTACAACTCAACAACAGACTGTACATTTGGGTGTGGTCTGGTGTACAACTCAACAACAGACTGTACATTTGGGTGTGGTCTGGTGTACAACTCAACAACAGACTGTACATTTGCGTGTGGTCTGGTGTACAACTCTACAACAGACTGTACATTTGGGTGTGGTCTGGTGTACAACTCTACAACAGACTGTACATTTGGGTGTGGTCTGGTGTACAACTCAACAACAGACTGTACATTTGGGTGTGGTCTGGTGTACAACTCAACAACAGACTGTACATTTGGGTGTGGTCTGGTGTACAACTCTACAACAGACTGTACATTTGGGTGTGGTCTGGTGTACAACTCAGCAACAGACTGTACATTTGGGTGTGGTCTGGTGTACAACTCAGCAACAGACTGTACATTTGGGTGTGGTCTGGTGTACAACTCAGCAACAGACTGTACATTTGTGTGTGGTCTGGTGTACAACTCAACAACAGACTGTACATTTGGGTGTGGTCTGGTGTACAACTCAGCAACAGACTGTACATTTGGGTGTGGTCTGGTGTACAACTCAACAACAGACTGTACATTTGGGTGTGGTCTGGTGTACAACTCAACAACAGACTGTACATTTGGGTGTGGTCTGGTGTACAACTCAACAACAGACTGTACATTTGGGTGTGGTCTGGTGTACAACTCAACAACAGACTGTACATTTGGGTGTGGTCTGGTGTACAACTCAACAACAGACTGTACATTTGGGTGTGGTCTGGTGTACAACTCAACAACAGACTGTACATTTGGGTGTGGTCTGGTGTACAACTCAACAACAGACTGTACATTTGCGTGTGGTCTGGTGTACAACTCTACAACAGACTGTACATTTGGGTGTGGTCTGGTGTACAACTCTACAACAGACTGTACATTTGGGTGTGGTCTGGTGTACAACTCAACAACAGACTGTACATTTGGGTGTGGTCTGGTGTACAACTCAACAACAGACTGTACATTTGGGTGTGGTCTGGTGTACAACTCTACAACAGACTGTACATTTGGGTGTGGTCTGGTGTACAACTCAGCAACAGACTGTACATTTGGGTGTGGTCTGGTGTACAACTCAGCAACAGACTGTACATTTGGGTGTGGTCTGGTGTACAACTCAGCAACAGACTGTACATTTGGGTGTGGTCTGGTGTACAACTCAGCAACAGACTGTACATTTGGGTGTGGTCTGGTGTACAACTCAGCAACAGACTGTACATTTGGGTGTGGTCTGGTGTACAACTCTACAACAGACTGTACATTTGGGTGTGGTCTGGTGTACAACTCAGCAACAGACTGTACATTTGGGTGTGGTCTGGTGTACAACTCAGCAACAGACTGTACATTTGGGTGTGGTCTGGTGTACAACTCAGCAACAGACTGTACATTTGGGTGTGGTCTGGTGTACAACTCTACAACAGACTGTACATTTGGGTGTGGTCTGGTGTACAACTCTACAACAGACTGTACATTTGGGTGTGGTCTGGTGTACAACTCAGCAACAGACTGTACATTTGGGTGGTCGTGGATGAACAGGACAGGGCTTTTAGACCATGTGTTGACGTGAAATGGTGTGTTGGAGTGCCGTTGCTCTTGCTGCTGTTTCTGTTACTGCGTGTGCTACTGCTAATGTTGTTGTTGTTGTTGTTGTTGTTGTTGTTGTTGTTGTTGTTGTTGTTGTTGTTGTTATTGCTGTTGTTGTTTCAAATCTTTATTCTCACGATAGCCAGTGGCCAATAAGAGATAATATTGTAAGAAAGGAGAAAGAGTGAGGAAGAATTGGGTGAGCAGAGCCTAGGGATTAATGACTACTTATGTCCAGAGGGCCAGCATAGTGGCAGGAGTGTGTGGTGAAAATTTCACTCGAATCCATTGAGAGACACCAAAGTTACGGTCAATTGAATGCCATAAGAAATTTAGGACCAGGCTGCTACCTTCAAAATGTACTGGCAGGGGTGGTCGCTACACGAGCATACAGAGTTGTGCAACAGCAGGGATATCTGGGATTTGAAGAGAGTACGAGGAGGGATTTCGCGAAGCTGGGTGGGCAAGCAATTAAAGTAATGAAGGGCCTTGTACAGGGGAGAATGGAGACAGCGATCATAGTGTGCGGTCCTATTTCGAAAAACAGTCATATTTAGAAGTTTCGTGGCAACTAGGAGCTCACAATTTTTTTAAGAGCTGTTTCTGACTAAGTTGTGGCTGCTGAAGACGATAAAAGTATCGGCAAGTCTGTACAGTTGTCCGTTTGCTAGATTTGGCGATCTTCCGCTGAATACGGAAATTATACATGTACTCGAACCCAGTCATTCTAGAGTAGTGGGTTTCTGCATACAGCCTTACAGAGTCCGTCAAGAAGCCTTTGAGTCAAAGTTTGACGTTTGAAGAAAAGATTGCTCTACAATGTAGAGTGTTTGGTCGTTTTGGAGCCGAATCAGGCAGGCAGACCCGAATCAGGCAGGCAGACCCGAATCAGGCAGGCAGACCCGAATCAGGCAGGCAGACCCGATGTACGAAATTCTCAACATACGAATTCCGTGGGAACTGGAGGATTAACTAAATTTATATCCTCATCACTGACATCAGGCTCATGCTCATTATTCCAACAAGAGAATACATCTTGACTCTTCCTTTCAATAATTATTTGCTCCAAAGAAGTCCAAGCAATGGACGACAGATAACTCGAAAACAAGAATGATTTCATTTTACAAGAGCATAGCAAAAAAGGAACAGCATGCGCACACAAAGGGGTGCGCGCGTATGTAGAACAAGTTATACGTGCACACGTTACACGTATCTGTGTCCGCTGAAGAAGTTACCGGTACGTAGAAACAGTTACGTAGTATGAGACGCACACTACAAACGAGCGTCTGCAATAGCCAAATGGAATGAAAACCGGTAAATAAATATCTGAGAAGACTGTAATTTTAATGTAAGTTAGTTAGTGACTTCAGACAAATAAGAAATAAATGAATAAATAGATTCTTGAACTTTCTAGCAAAATGAGCATTTCCTACACTCCCCCCAATTGGTCAGTTATGGACAATTGTGACTAGACCCAAATTAAATGCAGTTATTAGTGATCAGCGCTTGTCTCATCTCATTTGCGTGAGCAGCTGCGCGTCTCTGCGATCTTGGTCGGCGTGCTGAAGCGTCTTCATGCTGGTCAACGTCAACCTGCTGACTGTTAGACAACTCTACAGGATAGAGGGGCTGGACTGGTCTCTTCAAGTAATGGCGCTTCCGAAATTGTCCGGCAACAATGGATGATCGTCCTTCCATGGTGGTCTGACCTCATACCGTCCATTGTTGAAATCGATTGTCTCAACGAGTTCTTCATACTCCGTCTTGTCCTGGTCTGCAAGTGATTCAATTTCCCAGAACCTTTGCAGGGAGTCAGTGAGCTCTCGATCTGCTGCTGATGCCTCTTCCTCGACGGAGAAGACGTGCGTGGCCAGTGCACTGGTATCTTCTGGCGTGGGAAGTATGGTGGCTGGACCGGATAGGACCCACCCTAGCTTTGTCTCAATGGCCACAGGTCCGTCGGCATCTCGGATGATGTTACCCGTTGCAATAGTCCAGTATAGGTCCGCGCCGATTAGCAGATCCACTGATCGAGTACCTGTGTCATATCTGGTGTCGGCTAGCGCCAATCCATCGAGGTGACTACAGCACTCCACTGACGTGTGCATGGATTGGCCAGTAATCGGGTCACACAATAGCAGCACAGCATAGGCTTGTACCGTGATGTCCTCGCCGTCGGGGACTCGGATTCCAAGTTGAACTACATCAACTACTTGGGACATTGTGTTGTCCTGGCCGAACGCCTTGATGATGACCTTACGTTGATCCAGGACCGGCAGTTGCAAAGCGTCACGGAGAGCGCTCGTAACATACGTCCGTTGGCTGCCGCCGTCCATCAACAGTCGGATAGCGGCGCTGCGATCGGACTGTGTGACATTATAAGCCACGGCCTTGGCGGTTTGTAGCAATACCGATTCCTGTCTGCGAGGGTCCACGGAAGCATTCGCAGCAACAGCCTGCGTGTTCATCTCTGCCTTCTGCTGCCTCTCGCCACTACATATGGCTACGTTGTGGCTCCCACCACACTTGACACAAGAGTATGCATTCGGACAGGTCTTTGCCATGTGATTGCGTTTGAGGCATCGGAAGCACCTGCCTTGCTTCCTCAAGATCTGTCTACGGGTGGCAACATTCGTCACTGTTACGCATCTCCCGGCAGTGTGACTACCATTGCAAAAGAAGCACTTCAGTTGCGCAGGCGCACCAGTGTAGAGTGTTGACGTTGTGGCTGGTGCGGACTTTCTGGGTTGGGCTATCGGGATGGTTGGCTTAGCTGCCGGTGCCGCTCGCTCCCTGGCACACAGCTCCAGATGGACAGCCGATAGCAGCTCACCGATCTCCCAATGCTGCTCAGTCCCGGCAATCTTGCGGCTGACAATGAGCCGGAACTCTGTGGGTAATCGGGACATCAAAACAGACGTCAACAGGGATCCATAAGACTCGCGACTCATCCCGAGGGACTGTAAACTACGAATGTGTGTCTCAACGGTGGTGTATAGCTTCCTGAGGCCAGTTACATCATCCTCGCTGGTGACAGAAGCAACATTCAAGAGGCCCTCCATGTGGCTGGCGACAATGACCTGGACGTTGCCGAATCGTTGCTTGAGGACGTCAACTGCAGCCCTGTAGTTGGCTCCTGTCAGGGCAAATCCGGCAATTGCCTCTCGTGCCTCTCCCACTACCAAGGACTTTAGGTAGTTGAACTTATCAACGTCATCCAGGGTGTCATTGCCATCAATGGCCGACCCAAACATGTCCCAAAACGAGGACCAAGCTCGGATGTCACCGCTGAACTTAGGAATCTCGAGCTTGGGCAGCTTCATCCGGTGGTGGAAGCTGCTTCCACTACTGGCACTCGTACTAGATACTACACTGGAACGCGAGTCACACGGGGCGACAACTGGCGAGTCCTCACCAGTCTCATCTGGAGCTGGTTCCCGACTGTCCAGATTGCCCTTGGCTTTGCTTGTTGTGCAGCACTCATCCTTTCCGGAAACGGGTGACAGTGACTCTGACTTTGGCTGTGAGGATTGGGAAGCCCGTACACTGGCGATATTCTCCAACAGTTGACTTGCATCTGAAATGGCTCGCGTAGCCCTGCCGATGCGGGACTCGTACTTCATAAGATAATCCGCTGCATCACAAATTTCAGATTCAATGTCGTCGTTCTCGATGGCGTCCAAAATTTGGGAGTCCAAGCGACCCAGCAAATCCACTTTCTCCCGGAGTTTCTTCAGGTCCAAGGCACAATCCTCTCTATCATTTACGCTGAGATCTTCCCCTTGCCACTCGGGTGAGCTTCTCGTAACATAGGAAATCCTCTCCACAAAATCATCGATTCTAGATACCAATTTGGAGGCAGCTGACCGATGTGCTCCACGCAATCGAACTAACCGTTGGACCGACACTGTTGTCGTCTTTGGCTGATCCTCAGACTCCGTCTCGGCCATAATCACAAATCAAATTTCTCGGGCTCGTGTTGAAGCTCGAAGGACCATGTACGAAAATCTCAACATACGAATTCCGTGGGAACTGGAGGATTAACTAAATTTATATCCTCATCACTGACATCAGGCTCATGCTCATTATTCCAACAAGAGAATACATCTTGACTCTTCCTTTCAATAATTATTCGCTCCAAAGAAGTCCAAGCAATGGACGACAGATAACTCGAAAACAAGAATGATTTCATTTTACAAGAGCATAGCAAAAAAGGAACAGCATGCGCACACAAAGGGGTGCGCGCGTATGTAGAACAAGTTATACGTGCACACGTTACACGTATCTGTGTCCGCTGAAGAAGTTACCGGTCCGTAGTAAGTTAGTTACCGTATTATCTCTAATATAAGCACGGTCCTTTATTTTTTCAATGTACCTCCGCCCCGTGCTATTAATGGAGACTTTCCTTTATTGGAGACTGTTCCATTATATAGCAATAAAAACTGCTTTATGGCAGTTTTCTAAAAAAAGTTATTGTGTTCTAGTCCATGGACCCCGTCTAAAAAGTAAGAAATTAACGAAATGTGATAGCCGAAAATTAAAATTTCACACAAAACCTCACAATAATCACAACACTTGAAATGCTGCTTTCAACACTAAACTTGTACTGCACCAACAATTGGCAACATGCATGTCATGCATGCATAGGAAAGAGGATCACGAGGGGAAAAGGTCTTCTACATGTAGCTTTTCATTCTGTGTGTGATTATTGTGAGGTTTTGTGTGAAATTTTAATTTTCGGCTATCACATTTCGTTAATTTCTTACTTTTTAGACGGGGTCCATGGACTAGAACACAATAACATTTTTTAGAAAACTGCCATAAAGCAGTTTTTATTGCTATAATTTCTTTTGTTTTTTCTGTCACCAATCAATGGAATGCTCTATATCAATATGTAAATGATGGCCTTCATATCACATCAATACCATCAATACCGTATTATACGCATTGAGGTGCAAGCCTTTTCTTGCAGAAAATGGCACTAGGCTAGCATGTTCTTCTGCGGGGAAACATGTGAGTAGTGATGGACCGTGTTGATACTTTTTTTTATACGGAGGTCATTCTGTGCAGGTTGCTGTAGCAGAATTTCATGACTCTGTCATAATAATAATCTAGCCTTTCAGATATTTCAGATTTCCCCACCCTGGATCAGATTTATTTGAGAAATGTAACCAGGTGCGTGTCGCAGATGTTTTTGTTGATTCTGTGTTTATAATGGTTTATAATCATGGGTTATCGTGATAAGGTCATCCTGCATCATATTGCACTGAAACCGTAATCCTGTTGATGTCAATACAACTTTTGGAAGTAGTTCAATGACTTCAAACTGTTAGTCCACGATTTTCTAAAACAACACAGCAAAGGAGGAACAATAAACATGTATTAAAATGTAAACAAATACATTGCTGAGTGAGACACCTCGTTCCAACAACTACACTGATGAGGATAAAAGGGGCAAGGCTATGCTTGGAGGTACTGAGAGATAAACAAGGCACTCCATAAATAATAAAATCTTACACATCTTTTGGTGAGTATGAATGATATCCAGTCGTTCGACTCTTTAGGACGAACACCAAGGGTATTTATTCTGTGAGTTTGTCTTAACCTATTTTATAATACATGTTTAACCAGTGAATACAATTATTTCTCCAATAGACATACGAATAGATTTCTTCTACAGCGAAAGATTTCTTCTACAGCGAAAGATTCTAAGCCACACCAACTCATTGACTCGTCTCGTATGAAACAAATGAGTCACTGGAGAGGTTCTGCAAAACGAAAATGCGTACAAACTTTCGTTCTACGTCATGAAGTGCGAAACTTCGCACGAACTTTCGCAACTTTGGACGCGAAACTTGCAGGGAACACAAAATGAACTGTCGTAGGAAATTTCGTGAGATCGGGTCATGGCGTACGTGCACTTGGCCCGCGCAAACTACGAAAATGTGCAGAACGCAAAGTTCGTGCAAAAATTCGTACACACTTTCGCAAGGACTGTCGCGAAACTTCGTTCGAACTTTCGTTTTGCAGAACCTCTCTACTGAACGTTTCTTTAGCAGTATGACGGCAGCTGAAGTAGAGGATATAACCCGAGTCAGAGGGTTATACCGGCTGAATATAAATCCCGACTGCGATAGCAGGAGGGATTTATATGAGGGTACGGTATAACCCGACTACGAGGGTCATATCCTACTTATGCCAGGTACCCCTACGCATTTCCAGAACAACGAACCTATTTGGAGATCTCCTACATCATGCAGTACATGAACATCTTCTGATGGTTATCAGTTTTCAGTTGAAAGAATGGTCGAGCAAGGTCAGAAGGAGATTCCTCCGTGGATGTTTGGCATAAGATTTCCTTTCAGTACCAGTGCATATTGTAGCATCTTCATGATCTTGTCTTGAGTCGTGAGCGGTGCGGAAGTCGACTGAATTGCTGCGGTGCTGGAGTTTGTCGTTGAATCAAACTACCGTCACTAGTTAGATTACAGACTCTTTGGGAGTAAGTGTTACTATAATTATGGTCCAGTGCTGATTTTCACATGCGGCATCTTATAATCAGTTTTGCTTGCAAGTAGATGCATTTGCATGCACTGTTTTGTATCACATTTCAATCCAATCTATTGTAGCCTTTTCCACTGAATCGGGTTGAAGTACATGTACATGTACACTGGTATTATAAACTTATTTACGAAGGAGACAGTCTGTTGATGATCTTCAACTCTTCGAAGTACAATGTACATTGCTGACCCATTCGGGATACTTCGTGGTTATTCGACGTTCTTTATCCTCAGATTCAGTATAACAGAATACTCTGTAGACGAATTCCAGGTCATTCCTCTTTTCCATTGTGTACTGTTCCTCGTCAATGTGCCGTTCTGTGTGGAGTGTACACGTGCATGTGGTGTCCGTTGTGTCTGTTTTTGTATGGTCCGTGCGCTGGAGTACTGCCGCCGTACAACTACAAGTAAGTTCACTGCCTTTCAGGCAGTGAACATGTACGGTGGCAGTGCCCTAGCGTACGTACCGTGCACCGGGATTTATATTCTATATAAATCCCGCGCGGGATTTATACTGGCCTATATAACCATGGCTAGACGAGCGCTGATTGGCTGAAACCAGGCCCTCCGTACCGTACCATGGTATAAACAGCAATAGGCCTTATGCACATTGTACAGATGCACGAAATCCCGTAGAATCTTGTAGAATCCCGTAGACCCGGTTGGGTGTTGAATGTGCAGGACCCTATTGTGTTTACTGCTATTTCCACTATGAAATGGGCCATGAAGGCATTTCATACGAAATCTTTTTCCGGCAGAGATCTAGCTAGTCGTTAGTTCAATCCCAAAGTGAAGAAGGCTTGAAAAGTGATCGTTTGCCATGAATTGTAAGGCTAAATGGGTCAAACGCGCATGTATAGCACACAATGAACACCCAACCGGGTATGTACACACCTACGGCCATAGTACAGAACTTCGTATATCTGTACAATGTGCATAAGGACTATAGAGAAAGTACGATACATGTACAGCACATTCTTGCAGGTACTACAAACAGATTGCAGATCGTAATTCTTGCTTTGGCGGCACGAAACTTTATTTGGGGCAGTGCAATCTCGGCGGTACTCACAAATAATAAATCAAACAGCCCAGACTCGAGTGAAAAAATCCAATCACACAAGTACGAGATCTTCACGAGACGAGACTGCACCCATTGGCTTGTTTCGTATGAAGCAAACAAGTTTACTGAACCTCTCCACAATGGAGATTTTCCCTGATACCGTATGCGAATATATTTTGCAAACTCCGTCAATGGGTCCTTGAACCTTTCCCTCCAGATTGGGAACTGCCAACGATAGTATGCCACTGACCAGTGCCTTACTTGTAACGTACCAATGTACAATGAATACTGTATAGCAGGAAATATTCGGACGGAAATATTTTCGGACAAAGCCGAATTTCGACCGTTCGTACGGATTATATTTTCGTACTAGTGCTGCATGCTAAACACACGTGTTTCCCTGCAGTACGCATGTATAGTGTACATAATTTCACATGAACAAATTTTAGTACGGAATTAATTTTAGTACAAAAGAGGCCGTGTACGAAATCGTACGAAAATAAATTCCGTCCGAAAATTTCCTGCTATACAGTATTATAGCAATAAAAACTGCTTTATGGCAGTTTTCTAAAAAAAAGTTATTGTGTTCTAGTCCATGGACCCCGGCCCCGTCTAAAAAAAAAACGAAATGTGATAGCTGAAAATTAAAATTTCACACAAAACCTCACAATAATCACAACACTTGAAATGCTGCTTTCAACACTAAACTTGTACTCCACCAACAATTGGCAACATGCATGCATAGGAAAGAGGATCACGAGGAGAAAAGGTCTTCTACATGTAGCTTTTCATTCTGTGTGTGATTATTGTGAGGTTTTGTGTGAAATTTTAATTTTCAGCTATCACATTTCGTTTTTTTTTTAGACGGGGCCGGGGTCCATGGACTAGAACACAATAACTTTTTCTAGAAAACTGCCATAAAGCAGTTTTTATTGCTATAATTTCTTCTGTTTTTTCTGTCACCAATCAATGAAATGCCCTATCAATATGTAAATGATGGCCTTCACATCATATCAATACCGTATTATACGCATTGATGTGCAAGCCTTTTCTTGCAGAAAATGGGACTAGCATGTTCTTCTGCGGGGATACATGTGAGTAGTGGTGGACCGTGGTGATACCTTTTTTATACGGAGGTCATTCTGTGCATGTTGCTGTAGCAGAATTTCATGACGGTCAAAAAATTGTCTTGCCTTTCAGATATTTCAGATTTCCCCACCCTCGATCAGATTTATTTGAGAAATGTAACCAGGTGCGTGTCGCAGATGTTTTTGTTGATTCTGTGTTTATAATGGTTTATAATCATGGGTTATCGTGATAAGGTCATCCT